TGAACCAGTGATAGTAAGGGAGTGTGTGGGAGAAACCATTCAAGCATACACGCCGATTAAGTTGTTGCGAAGATGGGCAGCCTTGAGCACGAAACTGCTTCAGTCTTCCACACAGTTGTTGAGATAAAACGCACGACTTTCATCCGAAGATTCGAACCGGAATCACCTAAGCGCAAAGCACCCTTTTCTGATCACTATCTGCGCATGGTCTATTCCATTTTACGGCCGTTGGGTACAATTTATGACATCTAGAGAAACATCGTCGCAGCGATCACAAACTTGCCGGGGTGAAATATTGCCAGGATGTCCTGAACACGGATTGTGTTGCAGACATGAGTTCTGCAATCGTGTGGAAGTGGCAGACGATAAAAATGTAATTCAAGCCTTAAATGGAATCTTGATCAGCTCGAAGATTCTTGGAAACACAATTTGCAACTTGAAGGATTTCAGTCTTGATGATCAGAATATCGTATGATCAGGAATCTATCACCACTTTGAGCGTTAGAAATGTAGAAATCGGGTTGTTGGTAAGTGTAGAAAGACATGGATGATGAAATTTTCATTTGCATCGGGGATTCTGAATGATGGTAAATAAAATGCTAGTATTTGCCATTGAAACATACGCTTCTCATACATCCATTAACAGCTTGGCCCTGATCCTGATCTTTGGATTTAACCATTGAAGTCAGGGATGTTCGTGACATTGAATGCCAAAGCTATATGCACCGAAGCATGTTTAGAGACACAATGGAAGAACATGAAAAAAGACGGAATGCAGCTGCAGGGCTTTTCTGCGACTGCAGATGCTGAACACAAGAGTGCATACGCCTAAGTATGTTCCAATATAAGCGGCTATTGTTAGAATCAAACTCGTTTATCCTTTCACTGCCCCTCCGTGATGTATTTCACCAGGCATTTGCGGAGGCATGTTTATGACATTACCCTACTTAAAAACGCATTTAGATTTCAATCACAGCACAGAACGTTTCATTTCTGGCGTGTGAGGATCTGATTTATACGGAAACTCCCGGGTTATAATCAACTTACGCGCAGCTGCCGCTGTAATAACACACGAAGCGCGGCGATGTTTGAGTGCACTTTGTCTCGATCCTACTGAAATTATAGGTGCATCACAGTAATACCGGCCCTGGCCGCATAGCTATATAGAGAAACGTCCGTACCAAAAGCAATACTTTTTAAAATTCCTCTAGTATCTTTGTACAATTAGGATATCACAAAGTATAATAATAGATGGCGTTTTTTTTATTTGATCAGTGGTCATCACGTTATTATAAAATGGGAGTATCATACTTGATGTATGATGTATACTTTATATCTAACTTTACGAAATCACGCAGGAATAGAACACTTTCAACATTAGGACCTGGTGACAATCATTGTGTCATCGTTGAACGACCATATACTGGGACCATCTTGGGACAGTCGTGCATATATCATACAAAATGTAGCTACACAGTGTCCTTTGTAGCTACAAAGGACACGGCGGTTGGTTTGGGTACTCGGCTTATGTCGGGTGCCACTCCTCCTCTGTCACTCAAACCACCATGGCACCGAAGCTCCTATCCTGCATAGCCTTCCCAATGCCATTAGCCGGAAGGCCGGTATCTCTTTCTAGCACATCTACATATAGCACTATGTTTGGACACAGCCTGCCTTAAAATCTATGGACATCAACCTACGACAAATATGCCGGCACATGACCACCCACCGAGTCAGGTGGAGGGGTCCGGGGTAATTGGGTCAGGCAGCGCAAAAGTCAATTATTGAGAATGTGCGCATTGATTTTTGCCAGTTCAGCAAAATTCTGTATATCGATTTCTACCACAGGCCAGTTGTTTCTATGGGGTCAGCTTGACGCACATGTGGACTCACGGTAGCCTCCGTAGCAGGCTTATAGATCTGGGGCTTTGGTGGTCTTCGGCTGTTTTCTGATAAAAACGGGGGTAATTCAACCAGGCCGGCTATGTTGTCTATATGCAATCAGAAAATAGCACATAAAAGCTCCCAAAGACCCTGAAGACCCCCCAAAACCCCCAGTTTTGGCGTGCTACGGAGGCTAGACTCACGGACGGAATCTGGCGTTAGCGCGCGTTAGTGGAGGGATGAATGCCATAAAGCTGGGTTTTAGCACGGAAAGTGTTCCTGTGGCTTATCTCAAGGTCATTGGGGTTAAGTGAAGGTCATTAGAGCGTGCAGAACTGGTTTTACTGGGGCTTCTGACCTACCGACCTGTGAAAGGCAACATCACTTGCAATATTTAATGCCTCGCTGACATAAAAGAGGTGCTGACTTTTTTAAAACCATAAACTCAACTACATACTCGAACATAGCAATTCAAGAAATTGAAACCGGATGTTCACTTGTAGAAGCATGTTATTTTGGAATCTTTTTATTATGGACCATGGTAGAATTTGCTCGGAACGTTTAATGATGCTTATATCTCAAGGTCATCCAGGTTACCTGAAGGTCATTACAGTTCTTTATGTTACGGTGGCTTTTAACCCTCTGACCTTAGAAAGTCGACGTCGCTTTCAATATCCAAAATTACTGTGCGCAACAAAGCCGCCAGTACTCAGGGTATCCGCGAATATTACAACGTCAGTTTCAATATTCCGGTATGGCACTAAAGTACAGAGAGTGCACTCTTTGTTGCAAAAAGTAATTTAACTGTTAGAACACATCGCCCTTTCGATGTATCATTGCTCATAGCCGCTTGCTATGGGATTGACTATTCTTAGGTATCCTCGTATTATCATCCTTCATCTTTGTAAGAGCAGTCAGACAAGGATAGTGACCCTGAACTTCATTCTGTTCCATCCTGAGGGTCAGGGACTTCAGTTGCGTCAGTACAAGCTTTCTCCATCCACCCTGCCCTTACTCCTCTGTGTATAGTTGACGTCTGCTAGTGAGTTGCCTTAGATCAACCTTAGCCAGGGTCCCCACTGCTGTTTTCAAATTTGTTGGGACCAAAAATTTAAATAGTACGAAGTACCTCAGATAATTTCTCCCTCATGGTTTATTGGCATAGTGATGATTGGCCAGTCAGACTATTATATAGATGACACAATTTTGATTCCACAACCTTTGTATCTTGTGGGGACTTCGGAACACTGTTGCTTGTTGAAGGCCAGGGAATGGCGCATGCGTGATGGTTATTTTCGCGGTTCGTCACGTCCTTAAAACTCTGCCAATCGATCTCCATGGAAACGTAGACTTGGATCAGCCTGGAAGTGAGCCACGCGCTCAATTATAGAGAACCCTGTAGGCGCTGTGTTTTACGGAGGGATTAGCGGAACAACTTCTATATAAGGAACAGGCGGTAAAAATAAGATGGCGGCTTTCAAGTCTTAGCACAAACTATGCTTTTGGTCTTACGTAGCTTCTTCTCTAACGTCCTTTGACGTAATAGCTACCTCTCCGTTTAAAGTTGGTCATTGACAAGTACTATCCAGAACCGTTCTATGCCTGAATTGGTTTGGGTTATGACCAGCCACAGTTCTGGATAGTCTCCACGTATCTAACTAAAGGACATAAATTTCACACAGGTGTTGTTCTGGATTTGCGTGGGACTATAGAGCATGGTTTTGGATAACGCACAGTTCTGGATACAAGAAGCCCCCGGTCCTGATTAAGCTGTCCAGTTGCAGAGTTCCGCTGATTGCGCATGTGGGGCTCCTTTTGTTCGCCCCTGCCACACGCTGATGAGAGGAAACTGATGAAACCAGACACCTGACGTCCCGCTTTGTCTGACGCCGCTCTTCCGCCCAAGGCCGCACAAATGTGATTTCCGAATGACAGACGAGTTCACATTGATTCTGGCAGGCCTCCCGGAACAACAAACAAGAAAAGACAAGCCTCTGCTTCTACTAAATTGGCAGTGATCAATGGCAATCCCTCCACCAGGGCAGTTACAAGTGAACATTATTAAGCTGAGAAGTTTCCTTAAGCGACAGCAACAAGATTTATCTGTACCCTACAACTTGTTTTTTAACCTATGAGATGTATGTTAAGTACTGGAGTATGAATACTTATATGTTGAAAACTATCCTTTGTGAAACGACCTCAGTCATCATTCTGTTGGCCCTCAGGCTTAGGGATGTGCTCTCTGCCTCTCTTAATCCAGTGGAGCAACAGAAATCCTTCAGTCAGACGATATTGCTGACGATTCAAACATTTAGCGTTTTAGGAAGAACCTTCTAAATCATGAGTAATGCCGAGTTGAGTATCTTTTGATGATAAATAATCCATGTCCATTTTGCACGGGTTTAGGCGCGTCAGTTTTTGGTGCTGATACCGTGGACGATAGATAGTGCTGTCAGTGTGACCGTAGGCCGCTCTTTGTCTCTCCAGAATTGAGTAGCAGTACGATCCTGGCCGCCTCCAGGGGCGTTCTTACATATTAACCTCATAGAATAGATGTATGTGGCATGGTTTGTATGATAATAATTTCTTCCTGCATCTATATCTATACATTATTCGAATAACTGCTCTGACCAATTGTACGGTGTCACATTAACCTTGGTGCTTTGTGGTGGTTCCTGAAATTCAGACACGCAGCTATTTGGCAGGCAAGGACGTCTGAAGCTTCTTCGCAAAGTCCAACCCTCCGACCGAAACGCGTTTAGCCTGTCTTACTGAACGAAGCGCGTTTAGCATTTACCACGTATCACATATAACGTATTTACTGTGCCGGGCAGACAAAATGTCTGCTTATAAGAGGATAGATGGATTTAGCTTACATGATCGGATTTTGAAGGGGGCGAGATGTCTCAACTACACACCTGTCAACGAACCTTTTCCCGCGAGATGCTGCCGTTGCCGGGGACAACCCGGGCCGCGCTCTGATTGGTCGACTCGACATCCGCCTAGAGAGTGCGCATGCCATCTGTAGCGGACACTGAGCTGAGCCTCGGGGTTTCCCCCGCGAGATCCGGCGAGAAAACACAGTCGCAGCAGCGGCACTACGAGCGCACACATAGTAGCATAGAGGCACCGCTAAGCTAGCAGCATCAAGAGCTAGCGGTCCAACCTACGGGAACACAACACAGGGGCTCGCACCGCAGAACGCCAGGCCAACCATGCTGCCGCTCATCCGCAAGTACTCGCCTCTGTTCGGCGGCTCTCTGGTGGACCTGTCGCAGGTGGAGGAGGAGAGGAAGGCTCCTGTGGAGCCGAGCGGACTGCGTAGGGTCAAGACCGAGAGGGGAAAGCCGAAGGAGGGCCGTCCCCGCAAGAAGGAGCCTCTCCGGGCCACTAAGTCGCACCCCATCGGCAAGCCCGTGCCGCAAACCCACTTCGTGCCGCCCGCGGTCTACCTACAGGACTACGAGGAGAGGTGCGAGCTTTCTTACTATCTATTATAACATCACCCTTATCGAGGAATTTATCTGCGCCGAGGTACTAGAACTAAAAGACCGAAACACCCATCAAGCTTGTTTGACCTCAGTATTGCTAACCTAGCAGGGCACTTAACGCGGTATCATAAAAAAGATCAATTCTTAAGGAAGAAACCCATCGACTGTTTGCTTTTGAATGTTTTCTCGGTAAATAGAGCGCAGCGACCAGCAACACCAGCGAGGATGGGTTAGGTGTTTTTTGTAAGAGGCCTATGCTGAGTATTGCTGGTAATCGTAGAAATGCTGTACTTGCTACTCTAATATCTTCTTAACTTAAACAATGGTCGGTTTCATGCTGCTGAACAACATATGCTGCATGTAATGTTATGGCGGTGAGATACTAAATTGTACAATACCACTGCCGGTCCTTACTATGACAGGGGGCCAGCTGTTATGATACAACGTTTCTAGAATGACGTTACCTACGAAATGCCTAGCACGTTGTTCCGTCAACGCTGTTCCATTCAGATTAAACTGCGCGGCAACATGACAGACCCTGTTTGGTGTATTGTTTTGTGGTTTACCCTTCGCACCGTTTCATGTATTCATTTGTGTTTGCCGCCAGCAATGTTTGGTTCACTTTCTTCATTAACCTCCCTCTAATCTTCAATAGTTCATCGTGTGTAAAGCCATTGATGTAATGGAATAGGTCCGTAACCACAGAGCTATCGACCACCCGGTAATGATGCATTTGTGGCTTCAAGCTTAGAAATACTTCACCCAATGTTTGGACCGACCACAAATGGCCTTGTGGGTTCTTCAGTTTCTATGGAAAATATTTGTACAGCTGATAGATTAAAAACAAGTAGATCTGTTCCTGGGAAGGTATTATGGCTTAAATTTACCAAGAATTTCTAGGTCGTCTCAGCGAATCCAAATTGCTGTTTCTTCGATGAGTGCACTCCGTAAGCTCTGTACATTTTTCAGCCTTGCCATTTAATTCCGGCCGGCTGACGTGAAATATTGGAGCGGGTAGGCGAGCGATCCGACCCCGAATATCGACCGACCCGTGCGGGGACGTGTACGGCTGCAGCGCTGGTCTATGTGGTTTCAAAGCCTGCTGCACGGGGGTGAATTATCTGCAGATTTCTCTGGTGTCCAGTTTGCCTTTGAAGATGATTCGAAGATCCGTCATCCTTGATCCTCTAAGTGGTGTCTTGACAATTGAGAACGATCAATATTATGTGTAGAACGAAGGACTCCCGTACTGTATGTATAAACAGAGGGCGTTAGGACTTCCCACACCAAATCTAATTTGTATCGACTGTTTGCCCTCCGTGTTATGACTACATGTTAAAGGTAAACTCTCATTGTAGCTTTGTTTGCCATTTCTGGTGTAAATTGGTCTTTTCGTGGTCGTAAATAGGTTATTCACTTCACTAACACGCCTACATGTACCTTAAGTGGTTATTCTAGAGCTATCACATTGAAAAATATATTCACAACAAGGTATAGATGTTTATTCTTGTTACCTATCATGTTCCAAATTGTGATCAGATAAATATGCCCTGGCCTCACCACGACCTTTCAAAATGGCATAGTGTGTACATTACCTGTCAGTTTGATCTACCATTTCGCCATTTATTGATTTGTTTTATGAGTCAGCAATAGATACCCAGTAAACGAGTCTAGAAATATAATCAATAACTGCTTTGCCGTTTCTAAGGTAGTACAGGGACACTGTTTAAGGTAACCCACCAGGGCGAATATTGAGGCACATTATACATCCAAGCTCCAAGCATATACGATACTGAACGGTCAGTTTTAAGATTATATAATTCGAGTTGAGTTGCAAGTAAGAGGCTCCATGTACATACAATACCTGGATGGTCAACTCCTAGATTATATGATCCGAGTAGAGTTTCAGGTAAGAGGCTCCCCATGCACATACGATAGTGTGGGTTGTCAACTGCAAGATTATTCCATACGAATAGAGTTTCAGGTAAAATGGTTTCCCTCTCCCCCTCCCATGCATATACGATTCTCTTGATGGTCAACTGCGAGATTATATGATCCGGGTGGAGTTTCAGGTAAGTGGCTCCCCATGCACATACGATAGTGTGGATTGTCAACTGCAAGATTATACTATACAAATAGAGTTTCAGGTGAGATGGTACTCCATATGCACATACTCTGCATGGTAAACTTCCAGGTCATTTGATACGAATAGAATTTCAGGTGAGAGGGTCCCCGCATGAACATGCAATAGTGTGGTCTGTGTGAATGGTCAACTGCGAGATTATACTATTTGAATAGAGTTTCAGGTAAGAGGTTTCCCGCATATACAATGTAAATACGAAAGTCTGGATGGTACCTCCTTTGCCCGCCAGGTAGCCAGGCGGCCGCGTCACAAAATCATCCCGACACTAATTAATAATGATGCATTGAGCGGAACGCAGGAACTAATTCTATCAATCATGACCACTTTACCGGCCCGCAGTAATCTCATTCTCCCCACAGTTGTCGCTAATGGAAAGTAAAGCACAGGTGATTAGCCGGGCCCTGCTCGCTGTACGTCTTCTACCGACAGTTTTACGCATTCATCATACTTTACTTTTACAAACTTGCGTTAGTTTCAACGCTTAACTTTGTCTAGGTATTATCCAAATGACGACTGGAACCCTAGTGTACGGGCATGTATTTGATTTGGTTTGATCTCAGGCGGAGTTGGAAGCTATATGACCTCGGCATTAGGTTTAGATGGCTGTCATTTCTTTGGTAATTGTGTAACGTGGCAGGTTTATTTCTCTTTAGATTCTATAGAAAGTCACGCAGTACATATGAACTAAGTCCCCCGACATAGCTTGGAGAGACCCTGGTCATGACACAGCGGCTAGGGAATCGAGTCAGTCTTGGCTTGTGAAATAATAGCAGATCAAATAGGCAGCTCACCGACGTCAGTTCCTTTATTTGGTTTCCTCAAGTGATTTTATTAAACCTTTGATACCTGAAATCGGTTTCTGTGGTATAGACATAGAGCAAAACACGACCCCAGCAGTCTGAAAATAACTTAACAACACTACCTACTTTCTTGTTTTAGATAAAATGAGTGAACAGTAGAGGTCAGTATCACAATACACAGGCAAACAAATCGGTTAATTTGTATTTTGATATGTAACGAAAGACATTCGAAAATTCTGATTACAAAAATAATCGTGACCAGGTGATAATAATAGTTTCTGTGTCCGTTCCCCTCTCTTCATATCCCACGTCTATACCCCCCTCACGTGTAGTGTAAACTTAAGCGCTGAAAACTATTGACATGTTGAACCCCTATATCAACAAAACCACGTTGACAAGGTGGTGATTTTCAATCAAGGTGTTTGGCAAATATATACACAGTCGTACGCAGCAAATACGTCGATGGGGCACACCAAGCTGTGTTTTAACTATACATGGACAACCAAACCCGCACATAGCGGCCACGCAAGATAATAATGATTGGATCAATTGAAAAACAAGAAGAATGTTGTCACAATGATTAAGTGATTTCTATACAAACCAATGTGATCACCAGTACAGGGTTGCTAACACGTCTCTGTAAGGGATACTCCAAGTGTCCCAGAAAGCTGTGGTGTTTGGCCGGGCTGTGGCTGTCATCAGATGCTGTGGCTTCCCTGGAGGCGGTGATGAAAATGAGATCATTCATGATCATGATTGCCACCAGTCCTATATGAACTGTGTTACCTGAACTCTCTACGCTAGACAACGTCACGTCACAACGGGCAACCTTATCTCTCGTCATTTCATCTAGTCGCCGTCGGTCAACCCTTTAACAGCCAACACTCTCCAACAATCTGAAACGTAATTTATCACTGAGCACATCTTCAGCCTATGGCCTAGGAACGCCCCTGCTCTAAGAGCATAGTTATGGGGATCTAGATCTTCTTATACAACTGACCGTAAAACAGGAGCGCTGACTCGTGCAAACGGGAGGATCGTAATGATGCAGAAACGTGAGATCCACTGGGCGATCGGCACGTTTTACGAGTGTCTGTTTATCGGGCGTCCTACAAGGATGACAGATAAACTCAGAACAACTAGACGTTTTTATTGGGTTGTGACTCAGAAGGCTTCTTTTTATGACGATGTCATTAGAGTAATAGGAGATAGATCAGGGGCCTCCCTCGTTAAACGTTACTGTATCTCCTGTGTTACTTTCTAGTTCAATAAATCCCAGTAACGGTGTATGAACAGTTGATGGCTGTTTGCTGACGGTGGCAGTCTGAAGGGCCAGGCCGATGTGAGCACACTGATAACAGTGGCTTAACAAGTGTGTCTTGTGAAGTTTCTTGTGTTACTTTCCTAAGCTTGTTTTGTGTAGTGGCATAAATTCTACGTTTCCATTGCTGATAGAATTCATGTATCTGTACGTTGTTTTAACAGTAGATTGCTGTGTATATGTATATTTAGGGTGTTCGCTTGCAAAGCTTGTTCATTAATTGCACCATCCAATATACATGTTTGTGGCAAAGTTATTTAGACAAATAAATAACAATGTTAATGCGTTGACAGATGCTCCCATAAGATTATATATAATGATCAAATGTGTGCATCATGAATGCTAAGTTCTACAAATTAGCAGAATTGCAATGTATTTTCAGTAATTCATGAAATATTCCCTAAATTTCAATTTACAGATTAACACCAATACCTTCAGTCTCATTTATGCCCACGATGTAATACAATAAACATAGTTAGTAATACACTTTCGTCATATACAAGCCACTGGGAACTTGCTTCAACATGCTGAACACGTACATAGTATTGGGTTGCAGCGAAATTGGGCCATCTTCAATTTCATCTAACTCCACCGCCCACCGTTTCTACCCTCCTGTATAGAGTCATTATAGCCGCCGTGCTGTGGGCAGTCGATCAGCAGCGGGATGAAACAAGTGGGTTTTCGCGTTTTACGTCAGCAGTGAAATCCAGCCGCCAA